AGCAGTACGACAGACAGGGCTGTATTGGGGATACAAAAAAAAAAAATCTATGCTAGCCCCATAAGTCATTGCGCCATGTATTTTGTGTATATACAGCCTGTAGTTGTGGGAGGGGTTTACCCGGCCTATAAATTCACAGGCCTCCCCTTACTCTGGGCTGTAACTTCCTGGTTCAGTACAGAACCATCTACTTCCAGTTCAAAGGTCATCAACACAAACTACCTACCTGAAAACAAACAAGCTGGTCTTGGCCTAGTGAGGCCTATGCAAGTATTCATTTAACCTCATTTTAGTAAAAAACAAAACAAACAGCCCTCCCTCGAAGCTATAAAATATAAATCAGCTTTAATGGTTGCACTTACAGTGTAAAATGTGTAAAAAAAAAAAAAGCCCATCAATACAATTCTGTATGTCCCATCAGCATGGACTGGGATGATCTTCACAAAAGTAATAGGCAAAAGAAATCAAATGTATAAAATGACAAAAGTAAAAACAAATTCAAACTCTACACGTTTCGTCTGTAATATCAGACTACCTCAGGAGTAAAAAAGTCAAGTAGCATTCATATAAAGTGTTTACATTTGCCCCTAGGGACACCTCCAAGTGGCCACTCCTCAGATGGCCACTGGAAGGGTTTCCTGGCTCAGGACTGCACTGTAAGCAGCCCTGACGTTCAACGTCCCCACGTTCTGCATGGAGACACTGAATTTTCCTCCTAGAGATGCATTGATCTCCTGGTTAGCTAATACGGCATTTGGCCCTGCCCCCGTGCCGATTTTAGCCAATCCAATGCTATCCCTATGGGAAAGCATTGGATTGGTTAAAAATCTGCCATTTTGATGTCACAAAGGGGGCGGACCCGTGCGGCACTGGAAATAAGGGGAGTTTCAAAGTTTTATAGGGGGGCTAAGGGGGGGGGGCGGTGCAAGCCACCTATATGGTGGGTTTAGCACTATAGGGTCAGGAATACATGTTTGTGTTCGTGACCCTATAGTGATCCTTTAATTTGTTTTCAATTCTAGTTTTTTTTTTTTTCTGTGTGTGTGTGGGTGAGGGGTGCTGTATGTGTGTGAGAGGTGCTGTGCTTATGTGAATGAGGCAGTGCGTGTGTGAGGGAGCAGTGCATGTGTGAGGGGTGGAGTGTGTATGAGGAGGGCAGTCTGTATGTATGTGTGTGTGAAGGGTGCATGGGGTCTATGCTGTGTGTAGGTGGGATGTGAAAATCTATCTTAATGTCTCCCTCTCCCTTTTTACCAGGGAGGGGGGACATAATGCTGCAAGCCCTGGTGGTCCAATGGTGGCATGTTTACTTTAGCCTGTAGCTCCTCCGGTTGCATGCTGACTCTCCTGTCCTTCTTTGAGCACAGCACTGTTTTGGAGCATTGCCATGATAACGTGCAGCAATGCTCTGACCAGCCTGCTCACAGGAGGAACACAGAGCCTCCCAGGCCCTTCCCTCCTTCTGCTGGAACTAAGTACCAGCGGGCTGGTAAAAGATCTGCTCACCAGCCATAGAGGGCTTACAGCAAGGCTGGCTCTGCATGGGCCAGCAGGGGAGATGAAAGGATCTCCCGTGCAGGCCTTGCTCCATGGCCATTGAAGCCCACTGGGCATTTCCTGCAAAACCCACCACTGCCCACCTGAAATCCCAAACCGCCCACTAGTGGGCGGTAGGGACCAGGTTCTCTACCCCTGGTCTAAATTTATGTCAGGCCCAAACTTGGGCCTATACATGTATTCAGCATTTATGGTAAATCCTGTTAATAATCTGTCTTATTTCACTGCCTGTCAATACATTGTTTTAGCCCCTTCTGTGCTTAGCACGGGCTTAGTTAAAGGGGCATTATAGTCACCAGAACAACTACAGCTTATTGAATTTGTTCTGGTGAGTAGAATCATTACCTTCAGGCTTTTTGCTGTAAACGCTGTCTTTTCAGAAAAAATGCAGAGTTTACATTACAGCTTAGTGATAACTTCACTGGGCACTCCTCAGATGGCTGTTAGAGATCCTTCTTGGGTCATGGCTGCCTAAAATGCATGCAAACATTCAGTATCTCCTCCCTCTGCATGCAGACACTGACCTTTCGTCATAGAGATTCATTGATTCAATTCATCTCTAAGAGGAGATGCTGATTGGCCAGGGCTTTGTTTGAATCATGCTGGCTCTGCCCCTGATCTGCCTCCTTTTCAGTCTCAGCCAATCCTGTGGGGAAGCATTGTGATTGGATCAGGCTACCACTTCTAATGATAGAAACATAGAAACATAGAATGTGACGGCAGATAAGAACCATTCGGCCCCTCTAGTCTGCCCAATTTTCTAAATACTTTCATTAGTCCCTAGTCTTATCTTATAGTTAGGATAGCCTTATGCCTATCCCACGCATGCTTAAACTCCTTTACTGTGTTAACCTCTACCACTTCAGCTGGAAGGCTATTCCATGCATCCACTACCCTCTCAGTAAAGTAATACTTCCTGATATTATTTTTAAACCTTTGTCCCTCTAATTTAAGACTATGTCCTCTTGTTGTGGTAGTTTTTCTTCTTTTAAATATAGTCTCCTCCTTTACTGTGTTGATTCCCTTTATATATTTAAATGTTTCTATCATATCCCCCCTGTCTCGTCTTTCCTCCAAGCTATACATGTTAAGATCCTTTAACCTTTCCTGGTAAGTTTTATCCCGCAATCCATGAACCAGTTTAGTAGCCCTTCTCTGAACCCTCTCTAAGGTATCAATATCCTTCTGAAGATACGGTCTCCAGTACTGAGTACAATACTCCAAGTGAGGTCTCACCAGTGTTCTGTACAATGGCATGATCACTTCCCTCTTTCTACTGCTAATACCTCTTCCCTATACAACCAAGCATTCTGCTAGCATTTCCTGCTGCTCTATTACATTATCTGCCTACCTTTAAGTCATCAGAAATAATCACCCCTAAATCCCTTTCCTCATATGTTGAGGTTAGAACTCTATCAAATATTCTGTACTCTGCCCTTGGGTTTTTACGTCCAAGATGCATTATCTTGCACTTATCCACATTAAATGTCAGTTGCCACAATTCTGACCATTTTTCTAGTTTACCTAAATCATTTGTCATTTGGCTTATCCCTCCTGGAACATCAACCCTGTTACATATCTTAGTATCATCAGCAAAAAGACATACCTTACCATCAAGACCTTCTGCAATATCACTAATAAAAATATTAAAGAGAATGGGTCCAAGTACAGATCCCTGAGGTACCCCACTGGTGACAAGTCCAAGCTTCGAATATATTCCATTAACTACAACCCTCTGTTGCCTGTCACTCAGCCACTGCCTTACCCATTCAACAATATTTGAATCCAAACTTAAAGATTGCAGTTTATTGATAAGCCTTCTATGTGCAACAGTGTCAAAAGCCTTACTGAAATCTAGTTAAGCAATGTCTACTGCACCACCCTGATCTATAATTTTAATTACCCAATCAAAAAAATCAATAAGATTAGTTTGGCATGACCTCCCTGAAGTAAACCCATGTTGTCTCTGATCTTGAAATCCATGTGTTTTTAGATGATCATCAATCCTATCCTTTAACATGGTTTCCATCACTTTCCCCACTACTGAAGTAAGGCTTACTGGCCTATAGTTGCCCGACTCCTCCCTATTACCTTTCTTTTCTGGGACTACTCCTGTTAACAATGATTGGTTAAATAAATCTGTTAATGGTTTTGCTAGTACACCACTAAGCTCTTTTAATAGCTTTGGGTGTATTCCATCAGGTTCCATTGACTTATTTGTCTTTACTTTTGACAGTTGAAATAGAACCTCTTCCTCTGTAAACTCACGTGTAATAAATGACTCATTTATCCTTTTTCTCAACTGAGGTCCTTTTCCTTCATTTTCATCTGTAAATACAGAACAAAAATATTCATTGAGGCAGTCAGCTAGACCTTTATCCTCTTCTACATACCTTCCTTCGTTTGTTTTTAATCTAACTAATCCTTGTTTTACCTTTCTTTTCTCATTTATGTATCTAAAAATGTTTTATCCCCCTTTTTTACTGACTGTGCTATTTTCTCTTCTGTGTGTGATTTGGAAGCTCTTATAACTTGCTTAGCCTCTTTCTGCCTAATCTTATATATCATTTTTTCTTCCTCACTCTGGGTTTTTTTATAATTCCTAAATGCTAACTTTTTGTTTTTAACTATTTTGGCCATATCTGCGGAGTACCACAGTGGTTTCTTGAATTTTTTGCTTTTACTGACAAGCCTAATGCAATTTTCTGTTGCCTTCAATAGTGCAACTTTTAAATAATCCCATTTCTCTTGGACTCCATTTAAATTGCTCCAGTCTGATAATGACTCCTCTACCCATATTCTAATTTTAGAAAAGTCTGTTTTTCTAAAGTCTAAAACTTTTGTTTTTGTGTGGTGTGACTCAGTCACTGTTCTTATATTAAACCACACTGACTGATGATCACTGGATCCTAAACTTTCACCTACAGTAATATCTGATACCAAATCTCCATTTGTTAACACTAAATCTAGTATGGCCTCTTTACGAGTTGGCTCCTCAACAACTTGTTTTAGAGACAATCCCAGTAGGGAGTTTAGAATATGTGTGCTCCTGGCACAAGTAGCTAATTTTGTTTTCCAATTTACATCAGGAAGATTAAAGTCACCCATGATGATAACTTCCCCCTTCATTGTCATTTTAGCTATTTCCTCAACTAGTAGATTATCTAACTCTTCAATTTGTCCTGGGGGCCTATAAATCACACCTACACGAGTTACTGTGTGATTACCAAATTCTAATGTAGCCCAAACGGACTCTATGTTTGCCTCACTAACTTTTATTAGGCTAGAATTTATGCTATCCTTCCTTTCTTGCCTTCCCTATCTTTCCTATATAAAGAGTACCCTGGTATTGATATGTCCCAGTCATTTTTCTCATTGTACCATGTCTCAGTAACAGCGACTAAATCTACAGTATCAGTTGCCAATTTTGCCACAAGTTTATGGATCTTATTTCCTAAACTGCGAGCATTTGTAGACATGACTCTAAGCTTATCATTTTTTAACACGCTTGCTACAGGCACCTTCTGTCCTTGTTTTGGGGGACAATTGGATTGATGTTTTATCACCCTTTTGCCCCCCCCTCCTAGTTTAAATACATCCTAGCAAAACCTCTGAACTGCTCACTGAGAACATTTGTTCCCTTTTGAGAAAGATGCAAACCATCTTTTTTGTACAGCTTATCTCCATTCCAAACAGAGCTACCATGAGAAATAAAGCCAAATCCTTGCTCCCGACACCATTCACCAAGCCACAAATTAAAGTCCCTAATACGCATCCGCCTGTCGTTCTGAGTGTTATGCACAGGCAGAACTTCAGAGAATGACAGTGTGGAAGCAACCTGCCGTATATCATTGGCAAAAACACTAAAACTTCCTTAACCTCTGAAACCTCATTGCAAGCCAAGTCATTTGTCCCTAGATGGACAAGTACATCCAATTCCCCTTCCTGCTTTGCTTGCTTAACAATATTACAGATACGTCTCCTGTCTCTGTGAGCAGTAGCTCCGGGAAGACACCTCACAAGACCACCATTGTCCATCTCCACACCTCTTATAATGGAATCCCCAACAACAACTGCTTTCTATTAGGCCTCACCATAGTCTCCAAGCCGGTCTCCACAACACCACTAGTCTCAGTGCCTCTCTCCACAACACCACTACAGTGCCTCTCTCCACAACACCACTAGCCTCAGTGCCTCTCTCCACAATACCACTAGCCTCAGTGCCTCTCTCCACAATACCACTAGCCTCAGTGCCTCTCTCCACAACACCATTACACTCTGAAAGTGCAGAAAATTAATTATGAAGAGCAACAGACTGTGCAAAATGCCTTTTATCCACAACTCTAAGTCTACCAGATCCTACAGTAATCCATCTGCCTTTCCTAGTTTGTCTCTGCGGCAGTGGCTTTGCAGCAGTTCCAGTCTGAGTTTGTTCACCAGATAATTTACAAATCTCAGACTTCAAAAATACAATCTCCTGCCGCAAGATAGAGAACTGTCTACAGATTAGACAACAACCAAACCTCCAAAAAGTGGAACGTGAAACAAATGCATAGCAATTGTTACACTGAACTAAGTCTGCCATTCCAATTAGGAGAATAATTTAAATCTATCAAATCTTAGCTTTGTATTTATCCTCCTGAATACCTCAGATTACCTCCAGGTTATCTCCAGAATATCTCCAACTAGACACTTAGAAACAGCACTTACAAGTAGCACTATGCAGACTGCTTGTTTTTCTGAGTCTAACAGCATGCAGAGTTACAGCTTCAGGCTTGAATACAGTAAGATTTTTACTATATTAATGGAGGCATGAGGGGCCCATGGGGGCTAGATGGTGGTTTTAACACTATAGGGTCAGGAATACATGTTTGTGTTCCTGACCCTGTAGTGATCCTTCAATCGTACTTTAAAATTATGTCGGTCATAATTATGTCTGTTCTATGGATATATATACATGGCCCTCATCTAAATGTTATAGTCACACTTCAAGCAAGACATGCTATAAACCAGGTCTGCCACTCTGCTTACTAGATCTCATAATTTGCTAAACGTTAGTAAGCTAGAGATGTTTTGGTGTTTAATTACTTAGGCCAGGCATAGGCAACCTTTGGCACTCCAGATGTTTTGGAGTACACCTCCCATGATGCTTTGCCAACATTATGGTTGTAAGAGCATTCTGGGGGATGTAGTCCACAAAATCTGGAGTGCTGAAAGTTGCCTACCCCTGACTTAGGCTATTCCTTCTCACACATAATTCAGGTCCTTCTAGTAGAAGGACGTACAGTAGGAACTCATATCTAGATTCAGTTCAATCAGTTATCTCTTTTCCTTACTCATTTTTTTTGGCCTAGGTATGTACTTATACATAAGTACCCTTATTTTTCTAGGTTCCCGCCATCCTTACTTAATAACACAGGCACGTTATCTCAATTAGCACTTGCATCATCCTGGACATATTCCTATTGTGTCTTTAGGTGCCTCTCTATGATATTCCTTTCTCAAGCTTAATAGAGAAGGTAGAATTGTGAAACACAGCCAAAAGTCAAAACCCGAGATAACCATACAAAGAAACACACTATTGGGACTAAGAAGAACCACAACAGGGCCATTAGTCTTTCCCTGAGCTTCCCTTAAGTACTATGTTCCTTGATCTGTAGTCACGCCCCCAAAACGTTCTAATTCAAACGCTTTGGCGAGCCGTGAATTCATTTGCATCATGACGTCAGCGCTCATGCGCCGCGTCATAAAAAGGGGCGGGGTTACCGCGGCCGGTGTCATAAAAAGGGGCGGGGTTACCGCGGCCGGTGTGTTGCTGGGAACAAGAGGAGAATCATCCTGGAGTCAAGAAGAGTCAAACTGATAAAAGTAGGATCAGCGCTATATGATCAGTTAGGAGCTAAAATAAGTTTAGGGCTGCAACCAGGGCCGGACTGGGAAAAAAATTAGGCCCGGGCATTATTCAATCAGAGCGGCCCCCGAAGTAGGGGGCGGGGCTAGAGACAAACACGCCCCCTCTCAAAGTGAGCATGTTGGTTCAATGCGCAGAGCCCTGCTAAAGAGCTCTAGCATTAGAAAAAGGCCCTGTATTTGTTCTGCGCAGCGCAAGCAAATTTAATAACATGCTTGCGCTGTGTTTGCTTTTAAATTGTCTCTGGTGTCTCCACAAGTGGGATACCAGTAGACAAAAGGGCCAGTAAAGCGTATGGTGCATGTGTTTGGAGCCTGCTTGTGGGATTGCGTGTGTGTAGAGTGTGGTGTGGTTTTGTGTAAATAGGTCAATTTAATTTGTGTTTGTGGTGTAATATGTGTGGCTAGGGGCAGTGTGTGTGTAGGAGATCTAGTGTGTAAAGAACTCAGAGTGTGTATAGGAGATTGTATGTGTGTGTGTTTGTGTGTAGAGGATTAAGAGTGCATATAGGTAAGGGATCTAGCCTGTATCTGGATCTGTGTGTAGTGGTGCCGTGTGAGGGGTGCTGTAGTGTGTGTGTGTGTGTGTATATATATATATATATATATATATATTTGTGGTCGTGGCAATATAGCCATATATGGAAACATAGCATATGATAACATATCAATATTGGAATTAGTCGGTTGTGGTGTGCCGAAACCGACAGAGGAGTAGGCCTGTAAAAGTGGGCCCACCTTAGAGGGTGTTTATAATAGAGGGAGTGGTGGGTGGGTTGACTCGCCAGACCATTACGGTAATGTGGGAGTGGATTGGCAGCCCTTTTTAAGGGAAACCAAGCCCCTCCCACAACTACAGGCCAAGCCTTTTAATTTGTGGTCGTGGCAATATAGCCGTATATGGAAACATAGCATATGATAACATATCAATATTGGAATTAGTCGGTTGTGGTGTGCCGAAACCGACAGAGGAGTAGGCCTGTAAAAGTGGGCAAAAATAAATTATCATAAGACGTAATACGTTGACCAAAACTTTATTTAGATAAATCACAGAAAGCTAGTCTTAATTCTTTAACAGGATTGGGTATGTAAAGAGTATAAGCGGAAGATTTCCAGCGTCCCATTGTTTTGATGATGTGCGGAGGAATGTGGTTAGCAGAAGCTGTAGATGCTGCTCCTATTCGGAAAGAATGACCCGAAAATTGACTAGGGTTCAAGCCGAGTCTAGTCAACAGCAGTCTTACATAGAGCATAAACTTTACTGTAGTTAGAACGTTACCGTGCAGTTCTAGCAAAGGTTGTAATGGTTGTTTGTGGAGTGATAAAAGATAATTGTCAAAATTTTGTACAGGGCACCATTTGTTATGAGTAGGGTATAAGGGGATCGTAACGGTATGACCTATGGCACTGGTTTTTGAGTGTTTTAGCGTGAGTAGGTAATGGTCGTTTTGTTTCGCTAAGTCCATAATTCTTAGGTAATCAGGGGACGTGATAGTCCTAGTTGTGAATTCGTTGGGACGGAGGAATCCATAAAAAGCAAGATATATGGCTGATTTTATTACCGTGTTTGTCCTGGGCTCAAAAGGAGAGGAATCTAACAAGTTTACTAGTTCATGAAATATGTGGTTATCAATAGGTAGTCGTTTCTCGGGGATATGTGTATCTAATTTCTTAATGCCTCTAAGAACTGTCTTGATTTGATATGAGGACAGGAAACTCGTGGTGTTGGGTTGTTGAATTAGCATGTGGTGTTGAATTCCCGTAAGGTATAGTTTTATAGTGTTAAATGATAGTTTAAGGTTGATGTGGCAAAAAGAAGTGAAACCCAATATTGTTTCTATCGTGAACATATCGTGAATGTGAAATTCAGTGATGAATTTTTTGAATATGTGAAAAGCTCTGTCGTAAGTGTTTCTAGTGTTTACAGAGAGTGCCATGTGAGAAATGTGACGTGCGTGATTTAACAAAACTTTTAATCCATTATCATGTCTGTGAAAAGTGGGACTGGAGTTGCCCGTCTGGAGGCGGTGGGTAGTGTCGTGAAGAATTCCTGAAAACAAAATCGAGACAAGTGATCAGCACTGATGTTTGTGCACCCTGGAACGTGAATACATGTTAGAAAGAATTGACAAGTGGCTGCTATCCATGTGAGTCGCCTCAATAGCCTCATAATTACCAGGGATGATGACCGGCCTTTATTGACAATATGGCAAGTAGCCATATTATCAGAATAGCACCACACCGTGTGACCGGACCACTGGCGGCCCCAGGTAACGGCCGCAGCCACGATGGGGTACAATTCGAATAAAGCTGAGGTCTCTGTGAATTTTGTGAGTGATTTGACCTCAGTTGGCCATGGCCCCACGAGCCATATGTCACCCCATATGGCTGCAAACCCCGTGTTTGCTGCAGCGTCTGTCCATATTGTGGGTGAAGTGTCTGAGTGAGATGGTATAAACATGGCACGCCCATTCCAAGAAGTGAGGAAAATCCTCCACATGCTCAAATCGGATGTCGCATGTTTGTCTAGTGAAATGTAAGATGTGTCTGAGGTGAATTGTGGAAATAGTGATAGCAAATGTGAAATAAATGATCTCCCCTGGGGAATGATTCTCATTGCAAAATTAAGCGATCCCAGCAATGATTGTAGGTCTTTCTTAGTGCAACGACCTTGCTGTAGGTAGTGGTCAATACTTGCCAGGATACGCTCAATTTTCTCCTGAGGGAGGCTGGCCTGCATGTGTACTGTGTCTAGTTGTATTCCTAAAAATTGCATCTGGGTGGCGGGCCCCAGGGTCTTGTGTGGGGAGACTGGAACAGAAAGTGACTCAAATAATGCCAACATGTGTTTTAAACTTGTGGGTGGACTTGTGTTGTTCTCAATTGTGAGGAAGTCGTCTAAATAGTGAATCACAGAGGGACATTGGTAAACATTTAGCAACAACCAACATAAAGCCTCTGCAAATGTGTCGAAAATACGCGGGCTGCTCTTAGAGCCAAAAGTGAGACGAGTGAAGAAATAGTATAACCCTTCCCATTTAATGCCGTGAAGGTGCCAAAGTGTAGGGTGCATAGGCAGTAGTTTGAAGGCATTTACTACATCCGTTTTGCTTAACCATGCCCCTGTGCCAGCTTTAATGATAGCCCCGATGGCATGGTCGATAGTGGCGTAATGTAGTGAAAACTCTTCAGATGGTATCAGTGAATTTAGGCTAGGGACCGTGGAGGAATGTGGTGCGGATAAATCAATGATCAGCCTGGGTTTAAGTGAGTTTTTCCCCGTGACAATCCCAATGGGATTGGTTCTCCAAGAATTGAAGGGTGGTGAAAGGAATGGACCCAGCAAAAACCTTGTTTCACCTCGGTTGTGATAAGTTTAAGTACCAGCTGTGGGTCATCCCGTGTGGAAAGTAAGTTGTCACATTCCAGTGTGCCTGTGGGTAAATGTATCAACCCTGTGTGAAATCCTTCTGCTAATCCTGTTATGAGATAGTCGCTGAAGTGTCGTGATGGGTGTAGACGTAGCAAATCGGTGAATAAGCTGAGGTTCACGCATGTGAGATAGGGTTTTGGGAAAGCTTTATTTGGGCACATTGTCTTGGAATGAGCCCTGAAACAATGTGAACAAACATGCATTAGTCTACAGGAACTAAAACCACAATTGCCGGCATTAAAATTGTTACATACTTGGGATTTCCCTAAGAAGACAATATCTCTTCCTAGTTTGTCTTTCAAACCTTTGTTTGATCTTGGGGGGTAAG